TGCTGGACTCTGGGCGCGTTTCGACACCCTCTCCCCCAGCCTCGTCAGGGCCACCGACAAGGGAGAGGGCGGCGGTGGCCGACGCGTCCCACAGCTAAGCCGAAACAAAACAGCCCCCTGGCGGGTGTGCAATGCCAGGGGAACCCGACGACGACAAGACAAAACAAGAAGAGAAGGCAGGACCGCACGGCGACCAGCCGGTAACAGCACATCGTTGAGCGGTGCTGCAACCTTCCCTGAGCACAGGACTTCCTCAGAGCCTCAGCCAGACAAGTCGGGTTTGCACCCTCATGCCTTGCTGGACTCTGGGCGCGTTTCGGCACCCTCTCCCCCAGCCTCGTCAGGGCCACCGACAAGGGAGAGGGCGGCGGTGGCCGACGCGTCCCACAGCTAAGCCGAAGCAAAACAGCCCCCTGGCGGGTGTGCAGTGCCAGGGGAACCCGACGACGACGACGACGACAAGACAAGACAAGAATGCAGGACCGCACGGCGACCAGCCGGGACAGGCGCTGGTCGAGGCGGATCCGCCCCGAAGCACGGAATCAGGGGAAGGGCCCCGCCCTGCAGGTTCGGTAACAGCACACCGTTGAGCGGTGCTGCAGCCTCCCCTGAGCACAGGACCTCCCCAGAGCATCAGCCAGTCAAGTCGGGTTTGCACCCTCATGCCTTGCTGGACTCTGGGCGCGTTTCGGCACCCTCTCCCCCAACCGCGTCAGGGCCACCGACAAGGGAGAGGGCGGCGGTGGCCGACGCGTCCCAAAGTTAAGCCGAAGCAAAGCAGCTCCCTGGCGGGTGTGCAATGCCAGTGGAACCGACGAGGATGACAAAACAAAACAAGAAGAGAAGGCAGGACCGCACGACGACCAGCCGGGACAGGCGCTGGTCGAGGCGGATCCGCGCCGAAGCACGGAATCAGGGGAAAGGCCCCGCCCAGACAAGTCGGGTTTGCACCCTCATGCCTTGCTGGACTCTGGGCGCGTTTCGGCACCCTCTCTTCCAACCTCGTCAGGGCCACCGACAAGGGAGAGGGCGGCGGTGGCCGACGCGTCCCAAAGCTAAGCCGAAGCAAAGCAGCCCCCAGAAGGGTGTGCAATGCCAGGGCAACCCGACGACGACGACGACGACTAGACAAAACAAGAAGAGAAGGCAGGACCGCACTGCGACCAGCCGGGACAGGCGCTGGTCGAGGCGGATCCGCGCCGAAGCACGGAATCAGGGGAAAGGCCCCGCCATGCAGGTTCGGATACAGCACATCGTTGAGCGGTGCTGCAGCCTCCCCTGAGCGCAGGACCTCCCCAGAGCATCAGCCAGACAAGTCGGGTTTGCACCTTCATGCCTTGCTGGACTCTGGGCGCGTTTCGGCACCCTCTCCCCCAACCTCGTCAGGGCCACCGACAAGGGAGAGGGCGGCGGTGGCCGACGCGTCCCAAAGCTAAGCCTCTAAAAGCCCCCTGGCGGGTGTGCAATGCCAGGGGACGACGACCGACGACGGACAAGACAAAGAGAAGGCAGGACGCACGGCGACCACCGGGACAGGCGCTGGTCCGATGCGGATCCGCACCGAAGCACGGATCCCAAAGCACATAAGCCGACGCAAAGCAGCCAGACAAGTCGGGTTTGCACCCTGGTGCTTTGCCGGGCTCTGGGCGCGTTTCGGCACCCTCTCCCCGAACCTCGTCAGGGCCACCGACAAGGGAGAGGGCGGCGGTGGCCGACGCGTCCCAAAGCTAAGCCGACGCAAAGCAGCCCCCTGGCGGGTGTGCAGTGCCAGGGGAACCCGACGACGACGACAAGACAAGACATGACAAAAAGATAAGGCAGGACCGCACGGCGACCAGCCGGGACAGGCGCTGGTCGAGGCGGATCCGCGCCGAAGCACGGAATCAGGGGAAAGGCCCCGCCCTGCAGGTTCGGTAACAGCACACCGTTGAGCGGTGCTGCAGCCTCCCCTGAGCACAGGACCTCCCCAGAGCATCAGCCAGTCAAGTCGGGTTTGCACCCTCATGCCTTGCTGGACTCTGGGCGCGTTTCGGCACCCTCTCCCCCAACCGCGTCAGGGCCACCGGCAAGGGAGAGGGCGGCGGTGGCCGACGCGTCCCAAAGCTAAGCCGAAGCAAAGCAGCCCCCTGGCGGGTGTGCAATGCCAGTGGAACCGACGACGATGACAAGACAAAACAAGAAGAGAAGGCAGCCGCCGACGACCAGCCGGGACAGGCGCTGGTCGAGGCGGATCCGCGCAGAAGCACGGAATCAGGGGAAAGGCCCCGCCCAGACAAGTCGGGTTTGCACCCTCATGCCTTGCTGGACTCTGGGCGCGTTTCGGCACCCTCTCTTCCAACCTCGTCAGGGCCACCGACAAGGGAGAGGGCGGCGGTGGCCGACGCGTTCCAAAGCTAAGCCGAAGCAAAGCAGCCCCCAGGCGGGTGTGCAGTGCCAGGGGAACCCGACGACAAGACAAGACAAGACAAGACAAGACAAGACAAAACAAGACAAGACAAGACTAGACAAGACAAGACAAGACAAGACAAGACAAGACAAGACAAGACAAGACAAGACAAGACAAGACAAGACAAGACAAGACAAGACAAGACAAGACAAGACAAGACAAGACAAGACAAAACAAGACAAGAAGAGAAGGCAGGACCGCACGGCGACCAGCCGGGACAGACGCTGGTCGAGGCGGATCCGCGCCGAAGCACGGAATCAGGGGAAAGCCCCACCCTGCAGGTTCGGTAACAACACATCGTTGAGCGGTGCTGCAGCCTCCCCTGAGCACAGGACCTCCCCAGAGCATCAGCCAGTCAAGTCGGGTTTGCACCCTCATGCCTTGCTGGACTCTGGGCGCGTTTCGGCACCCTCTCCCCCGACCTCATCAGGGCCACCGACAAGGGAGAGGGCGGCGGTGGCCGACGCGTCCCAAAGCTAAGCAGAAGCAAAGCAGCCCCCTGGCGGATGTGCAATGCCAGGGGAACCCGACGACGACGACGACGACAAGACATGACAAGAAGAGAAGGCAGGACCGCACGGCGACCAGCCGGGACAGGCGCTGGTCGAGGCGGATCCGCGCCGAAACACGGATTCAGGGGAAAGGCCCCACCCTACAGGTTCGGTAACAGCACATCGTTGTGCGGTGCTGCAGCCTCCCCTGAGCACAGGACCTCCCCAAAACATCAGCCTGACACGTCGGGTGCACCCCCACGCCTTGCTGGACTCTGGGCGCGTTTCGGCACCCTCTCCCCCAACCTCGTCAGGGCCACCGACAAGGGAGAGGGCGGCGGTGGCCGACGCGTTCCAAAGCTAAGCCGAAGCAAAGCAGCCCCCAGGCGGGTGTGCAATTCCAGGGGAACCCGACGACGACAAAACAAGACAAAACAAAACAAGACAAGAAGAGAAGGCAGGGCCGCACGGCGACCAGCCGGGACAGGCGCTGGTCGAGGCGGATCCGCGCAGAAGCACGGAAGCAGGGGAAAGGCCCCACCCTGCAGGTTCGGTAACAGCACATCGTTGAGCGGTGCTGCAGCTTCCCCTGAGCCCAGGACCTCCCCAGAGCATCAGCCAGACAAGTCGGGTTTGGGAGGTGGAGGAGGAGGAGGAGGAGGAGGAGGGGGAAGAGGAGGAGGAGGAGGAGGAGGAGGAGGAGGAGGAGAGGAGGAGGAGGAGAGGAGGAGTGGGAGGAGGAGGAGATGAGGAGGAGGAGGAGGAGGAGGAGGAGGGCAGAGGAGGCAGAGGAGGCGGAGGCGGAAGCGGAGGCGGAGGCGGAGGCGAAGGCGGCGGCGGCGGCGGAGGAGAAGGAGGAGGAGGAGGAGGAGGAGGAGGAGGAGGAGGAGGAGGAGGAGGACGAGGAGGAGGAGGAGGAGGAGGAGGAGGAGGAGGAGGAGGAGGAGGAGGGGGAGGAGGACCCCATCTGAGAGGCCAGAGCGTCGAAGGAGGCCGCGAGAACTTGATCCAGGGTGTCAGGCCTCGTGTGCGCGGGGCTGGAGGCAGCGCAGCTCCGCGGGGGCACGGAGGCAGCGCAAAATCGCAACCGGGGTGCTTCGCCGGGCGACTCCCATGTGGCAGCACCTCACATCTGGTGGCAGCAGCGCCAGCCAGGGATCGGTGATTCAAAGATGGAGTCCTGAGGTGTGGGGCCCCAAGGATAGGAAGGGATCCAAGGGTGGATTTGCATTGTTTGAGGCCGTCCTCAGGACACCATCTCTCAGGACCCATCTTCTCGCGCTGGAGTCCACCTAGAAGCAGAGCGCGCGCGCAGTGCGCGCCAGTCTTTCGGGTCACCGGTGGCTTCGTCAGCCTATGTGTCGTTGGCGCGGGCCTACAGTCAACCCGCATGGTAAGGACGGGCAAATTTCCCAAGGGTTCCCTTGCAGCCTTGCCTTCTCGACCCATTCTTGGCCACTTTCGTTCGCCGCGCCGCCCTCGAAGAGCTTCGAGATGGGTGTCCAAGGCCCTTGCATCCTTATCGCGCATCCTTAGTATACAGGCCGACTGTATGGGCCAGGGAGGAGAAGGAGGAGGAAGAGGAGGAGGAGGAGGAGGAGGAAGAGGAGGAGGAGGAGGAGGAGGGGAGGAGGAGGGGAGGAGGAGGAGGAGTAGGAGGAGGAGGGGAGGAGAGCAGGAGGAGCAGGAGGAGGAGGAGGAGGAGGAGGAGGAGGAGGAGGAGGAGGAGGAGGAGGAACCTCCGCGCCAGCATGCCGTTGAGGAGGTTCTGGGGGCCGACGCTTCCGGGCAGCTCCGCGAAGCTGGCCGCGCCGTCCCGCCGCCCCTCCCTCCGCCGCGCCGCCCTGCACGGCCGTCGTCGTCGTCGTCGTCGTCGTCGTCGTCGTCGTCGTCGTCGTCGTCGTCGTCGTCGTCGTTGTCGTCATCGTCTTCGCCGTTTCCGTCGTTTGTCGTCGTCGTCGTCGTCGTCGTCGTCGTCGTCGTCGTCGTCGTCATAGTCGGCGTTGCTGTCGTCGCCGTTGTCTTAGAACCTCCTTCGGTCCGCCGGCCGCACCCCCTCGGAGGTCCTGGGCACCGGCGTCAGCGGCAAGGTGCTGCTGGCCACGGCCCGGCAGGGCGGTGCGCGCGTGGCGGTCAAACGGCTGAGCTTCCGGTCGATGGGGGCGCGCCGCCGTCACCGTCGTCGTCGTCGTCGTCGTCGTCGTCGTCGTCGTCGTCGTCGTCGTCGTGGCCGCCGCCGCCGCCACCATCGCCGTAGTCGTCGTCTTCGTCACCGCCGCCTTCGCCGCCGTCGTCGTCGTCGTCGTCGCCGCCGCCGCCGCCGCCGTCGTCGTCGTCGTCGTCGTCGTCGTCGTCGTCGTCGTCGTCGTCGTCGTCGTCGTCGTCGTTGTCGTCATCGTCTTCGCCGTTTCCGTCGTTTGTCGTCGTCGTCGTCGTCGTCGTCGTCGTCGTCGCCGTTGTCACCATCGTCGTCGGAAGTGAAGAGTGAGCTGGAATTGCAGAGTGCGACCTCGTAGCTTTCTTCTCCGGACGAGACGCGAGGTCGACAGTGGTCAGAACACCAGCGCGTGCGAGCTCTGTTCTCATTCTGTGTATGTGTTTGTGTAGCCCCATGCGTCATCGCCGTGGCATTGTCGTTCTCTCTTGGACGCTGTCTGGCCCAATGAGGGGCTGTCCCTCCTGCTTAGCCGAGCCAGTCATCGCACGCCTGTTGTTCAACGTTCAATGGTGCTTTGTGCTTCCGATCTGTCGGAACCCTATGTTGGGGAATTTGGGAGGGTCTTGTGGCTCTCTCGGAGCCGTCTGGAGGCGCCTTGGAGACGATTTGGGCTGGTCCTCGGCTATCCCGCGGCTTGTCGTTGAGCGAACTTTTGCTACCTGAGTGCTGTCTCGAGGTCTCGGTGTGGGGCTCATCTCTGGGAACTTGAAGGGTGGCGGTGAGGCGGTGAAGCAAGGGCGCCCTCGAGGGCGCGAAGTTATTCGCGCTTCGCGATTCGCGGTTCCGCTCCGATTCCTCCTCGTCCTCCTCTTCTACCCTGGGAGGCGGCGCGAGAGCGCGAAGTTATTCGCACTTCGCACTTCGCGCAACGCGAAGCGCGAAATTGGGAGCCCTTATGAAGGGTGGCGGTGAGGCGGTCTCGGTCGAACAAATTTTCGCGGAGGTCCGCGCGAATCCGAGGCTGGGGGGCGGGGGCCCTGGCCAGGGCCGGGGCGGGGACCCAGCCCGGGGCCAGGGCGGGGGCAGGGGTCCTGAGCTTCGGCTGCCGCCAGGGAGATCACGCCTCCGCCTCCGCCTCCGCCTCCTCCTCCTCCTCCTCCTCGCTCCTCCTCCTCCTCCTCGCTCCTCCTCCTCCTCCTCGCTCCTCCTCCTCCTCCTCCTCGCTCCTCGCTCCTCGCTCCTCGCTCCCTCCTCCTCCTCCTCTCTCTCCTCCTCCTCCTCCTCCTCTCTTCTTCCTCTTTTCCTCCTCCTCCCCTCCTCCTCCTCCCTCTCTTTTCCTCCTCCTCCTCCTCCTCCTCCTCCTCCTCCGCCTCCTCCTCCTCCTCCTCCTCCTCCTCCTCGTCCTCCTCCTCCTCCTCCTCCTCCTCCTCCTCCTCCTCCTCCTCCTCCTCCTCCTCCTCCCCCTGTCCCCCTCATGGGGGACTGCTCAGGGAGTGGGGGGGGCGTCGATTCCCGGGACCCCCACGGGGACCCCCCCGGGACCACCCCAGGGACCCCCCGGCAGCCACCTTGGACCCGGCCCCCCCCTGGCAGGGAAGGGATCAAAGGGAAGGGCGTCCCTTTCGAATCAATTACGACGTTGTTTGCTTTCCGTTTGGCTGGGTCTCTTGAGGAGGAGGGCCCATGGAAACGGAGACGACGACGAGGAGGAGGTGGAGGAGGAGGAGGCGACTCAAACGAAACAGCCTCCAACACACGCCGACATCGTCGGCAGATTTCTCATATTCTCGACGTGTAGGTACATCAATCCTGTAGTCGATCTCCGATTCCTAGCTTGAGGTTTAGGACCTCAAAGACCCTTTCGAGTCTCCCCTCGTGCGGGCCTCTTGGGCGCCTTTCGGGCCCCTCTTTGGGGCCTCAGGTACCCTACTGGCTCTCTCGGGGGCCTCCTGGGCCGTCCTGGACACTCTTCAGACAGAGAGCGCGAGTTCGCGACTGTCGTGCACCGACGCATGCTGTTGCACGGACTTCGGCTTCGGGGGCCGACCCCCAGGGCCTCCACTGCGGCCTGCTAGCCCCCCCAGGACCGCCCAGCACGGGCCCGCGGGGCAATCTGACGCGGGAAGCGTGGACTCCCACCCGCGCCCCAAGGCCCACAGAAGCATCGCGACCCACCGCAGAAATTGAAGGGACACGGGGACGCTCCACTTCGTGCCTCGCGGCGTAGTGGCGGACACTGAACGCCGGTCCAACGGAGCAAACCACGACCTCCTTCTCTAGGTATGCTACAACATGGCTGCTGTGCAACAGGTTCGGCTCGAACGGGTACCTTCGAGGAGGGCGCGCAGTGCTGAGCATGACTCTCCTCTGCGCCTACTGCGCCTAATTCGCCTCGCTTAGAAGGGGAGGGGAGGGGTGCGGCGGAGTGGCCCGTCGTCGTCGTTGTCACCTTTGTCGTTGTCACCACCGTCGTCGTCGTCGTCGTCGTCGTCGTCGTCGTCGTCGTCGTGGAGGTCGTCGTCGTGGAGGTGGTCGTCGTTGTCGTGGTTGTGGTGGTGGTCGTTGTTGTTGCCGTTGGCGGCTTCGCCGGGAGGGGTGCGGCGGAGTGGCCCGTGCAGACGCCGCCCAGGTCTCTGTCGCAAACCGCCAGGGCCAACCTCCGGAACGAGGCGGCCGGGGCCCTTGGGAGCCGCTGCCGGTGGGCAAGCGGCGGAGGCAGTGCGGGAGGGCGATGCCGGTGCCGGTGCAGACGGTGCTGCTGCTGACGAGGATGTTGAGGACGATGGCGAAAATGATGATAACGGTGGTGATGGTGGTGATGGTGATGGTGACGTTGATGTTGATGTTGATGGGGATGGTGATGTCGTGGTTGTGATAATGGTGCTGATGTTCATGCTGCTGCTGAAGCTGCTGCTGCTGATGATGATGTTGATTTGATAATGGCGATGATGACGACGATGATAATGATTATGATGAGGAGGATGCGGATGCTGCTGATGATGCTGATGATGATGACGATGACCATGATGACGAACGCTGATGGTGATGCTGATGCTGTTGCTGCAGATGATGAATATGAATATGAACATGGAGAGGACACTTACGAACTGATGATGATGATGATGATGATGATAATGATGATGATGATGATGATGATGATGATGATGATGAGGACGAGGATGAGGATGATGATGATGATGATGATGATGATGATGATGATGATAATGACGATGCTGATGATGCTGATGGTGATGGTGCTGATTGTGATGCTTAAATGCTGATGGTGGTGATGATGACGACGATGATGATGGTGGTGATGATTGTGATGATGATCATGATGATTCTGTTTGAAACGATCATGATGGCGATGCTGATTATGACGATGCTGCTGATGATGATGGTGGTGATTGTGGTGACGATGATGATGATTATGATCATGATTGTGATGATGATGATGCTGATGATGATGATGGGAGGAGGATGCGGATGCTGTTTAGGATTATGCTGCTGCTTATGATGCTGATGCTGATGCTGATGATGATGCTGCTGCTGATGATGATGATGGTGGTGGTGGTTGTGGTGGTGATGATGATGCTGATGATGACGATGTTGATGATGATGACGATGCTGCTGCTGATGACGATGGTGCTATACATGATTATGGTGCTGCTGCTGATGATGATGCTGATGCTGATGATAATCATGATCATGATGATGCTGCTGCTGATGATGATGATGATGCTGATGATGATGCTGATGCTGATGCTGATGGTGCTGCTGCTGCTGATGATGATGATGATGATGATGATGATGCTGATGATGATGATGATGATGATGATGATGATGATGATGATGATGATGACGGCACGATGACGGTGACAAGGACGATGATGCTGCTGCTGATGGTGGTAATGCTGATGATGCTTATGATGATGACGGCGGAGCAGGGCTAGGGAGGAGGTTGAGAGGGAGGGAGAGCTGGAGCTTGAGCAGGAGGAGGAGGCGGAAGGACAGCGAGAAGGGACGCGAGGCATGATGGAGGAGGGACATGCGGAGGATGAGCAGGGGGAGACGGAACGGAAGTGAACAGGAAAGTAAGACATAATTGTGCAGGAGGGAGATGAGGAGGATTAGGATCCCCTTTGGATAACCATGTCCGCATCCTTGATGCTTTCAGTAGGGGACGGGGGGAGTAGGAGGGCGGGTAAGGATGATGATGATGGGGATAGGGAGTGGAGGAGGAGGAGGAGGAGGAGAAGGAGGAGGAGGAGGACCATTGTAGGCCCAATACGATGACGTTGTAATACGCCCTCCCTGCCAGTTGCATCTTCATCTGTCGCTAAAGGGATGTATTTTCATTGCGGCAAGTGGCCCGTTAGAAGGCAACTGTTTGAGAATCTTCAATGGTGCCACCATGCAATTCCTGGGACTTCGGCGCCGCGGATCAGCGGGATCAGCGTGACTGGTGCGTCCTGAGAGTCCTAAGCCGTGCCAGAACACAAGTTCTCGGACCTTGACAATGCGAATCCTTGAGATTGTTGCGAACTTTTAGGACGATTATGTTCGGTGCCAAGGCGTTGGCCAACTTTTGCAAGCAACCCGCCCTCCATTTGGGAAAGTGATGCAGCTTTTTGAGGTGCGCGGCGCTGAGGCGAGACCCATTTTGAGAAGGAGCCGCCCTCCATCCTACATATTTTTGAAGCAGGTGTGTGCGGCGCCAAGACGCCAGCCACATTTTGCAAACGCCCTGCCCTCCATGCGCCTCCCACCCTTGGGCCCTCTCCTAGTTCTGCACAGTCTTTCGGTCTATGCAGGCCATAGGGGGGCTTTCACGGCATGGCAGTGGCTTGCGTCTTGTGCAGCCGACGGATACCCTGTTGTTGGCGGCCGAACCGAGGGTCGATCCGTGAGGGGAGGGGGCCATAGTGGGCGCTCCGAAAGGAGCTCGCGAAACCCCCTCCCCGAAGCGGCGCTTGCCGAGGCGAGATCGCTCATTTTTTTGCACTTGTTGCTCGGTGCATTTTGCTTACAGCATCTCCCACAGATGCTGTAAGGAGTCGCCTATTTGGCTGATGTGGTGAAGCCGTGGAGGTAAAAATGAACAAACCTGCCTTCCATGCAGGGAGCTGGTGTAAAAATTAAAGACGAATGTGCGCGGTGCTACGGCGAGAACCGCATTCTGAAAACGTCCCACCCTCTGGCCGTGAAGCTGTTCCAATTTTCAGCTTTACGATAATAAGTGGCGAGGAATTTTCAGGCGAAACGCCCATTCCGCCCTGCCGACACGACTGGCGGTGCGAACTGGAGGAGTTAATTATAAAGAGGAGGAGAAGGAGGAAACTGAGGATGAGGAGAAGGAGGATTAGGGGGAGGAAGGAGGGCCGACCCGGACCGCCAGTAGGTTCAGTCTGAGGCTGCGCTACTAGTCGACCCAGGAAGTAGTTGCAGCTGGTCATAATTACTGACGCTTCTCGTATCCCCACCCGCCCATCCAAAAACGATGCCCAGACGAGCTGTGGCGAGAAAGGGAGCGGCAGCATACATATTAAAGGCTGCCGCCTCTGCCGCCGACCCCAAATAAATGCATGTATTGTTTGTGCGTTGCGTCGGTTGGGGGGAGACCTCCCTCTCCCAAATCCCTCGTACTGGGCTCCTGGGGGAAGGGGTTGCTGAGGTGGCATCATTTCACACGCCGACGGAGTTCAGGAGGAATCTTGGGCCTTGTTGGAGCCGTCTTGAGGTCGCAGAAGCCTGTCGTCATGCGATCTGGGAGTCTTTCGGAGGCTTTCGTTTGCTATCTTGAGCCATGTTGTGCTTCCTTGAGCCATCTTGGACGTCATCCCGGGCTGGGGTTCATCTTGGGCTCGCTGAGGCCCTCTTGGAGCCATGTTGGGTCCTCCTAGGCGCCCCATCCCTCGCGACGCGCGCCGAAGGGCTAAACTCGTCCCCGAAGGGGAAGCGGGCGGTTGCCAAAGGAATCTCTCGAAACCACCTACGCTCAAAGGGGCTTGAGGGACCACCTGTGGGCTTGGTCGGGGCTTCTTTGGGATGCTCCTTGGGGGCTGATTCGGGCCCTGCTCTGGGCCGGTTCGGGGGTGTCGGTCGTTGTTGGGCAAGAAATCGTGGGGTTGGGGGATCCAAGAACAGAGCCCAGGAGCCTGAGGATGTCGAGGGGGGGTAGAGGCGAGGTGGGAGGTATCGGTCGTTTTTGGGCGAGAAATCGTGAGGTCGGGGGTCCCAAGAACAGAGCCCAGAGGCTTGGAGATGTCAAGGGAGGGGGGGGGGTGGAGGCGAGGTGGGTGGCGAGGTGGGGAGTATCTGTCGTTTTTGGGCGAGAAATCGCGGGGTCGGGGGTCCCAAGAACAGAGCCCAAAGCAGAGGCCTGGGAATGTCCAGGGGGGGGGGTGGGGTGATGTGGTGCGAGGCGGGAGGTATCGGTCGTTTTTGGGCGAGAAATCGTGGGGTCGGGGGTCCCAAGAACAGAGCCCAGAGGCCTGGGGGTGTCGAAGGGGGAGGAGGGGGGAAGCCAGGTGGGGGAACGAGGTGAGAGGTATCGGTCGTTGTTGGGCGAGAAATCGCGGGGTCGGGGGTCGCAAGAACAGAGCTCAGAGGCCGGGGGATGTCGAGGGGGGTGGAGACGAGGTGAGGGGCGAGGTGGAGGGTATCGGTTTGTTGTGGACGCGAAATCGTAAGGGTCGGGGATCCCAAGAACAGAGCCTAGAGGCTTGGGGATGTCAAGGGGGGTGGAGGCGAGGTGGGGGGCGAGGTGGGGG